GGATTGTGATGAATGCCATTGGGCGTCCGGATCTCTTCCCTGCCTCTCAGAACTCCATCTCTTGGTGGTCGGCAGCCAGGAAGGGAGTGACGAAGCAGCTCCGTCGTGGTTTCGATACAGTTGTGGTCCTAGCCGCTTGGTTCATATGGAAAGAGAGGAACAATAGGGTTTTTAACCAGAAGCAGTGAGCGTGAGAGGAGGTTGCTAGGGCAGCAGCAGAGGAGGCCGCCCTATGGAGGCTAGCAGGTCTACTCCCCGAGTAGATCATGGCTGTCGTGGTTGCAAAGTTGATGTCATGAGATTATAGCTTAGCCTCCTTTTCTTGCCTTTCTTTTTCGGTTTCTCTTTCAGTTGCACTGTAAAGCTGTCACAATTTCTCCCCAATCTTAATACAAAAGATGCGCAACTCTTTTGCGCATTCTCGAAAAATAAAAGCTACTCCAATCAGCGAGAGGGTAGAGGTGGAGCCACACTACACTAAAAAAAACACAAAAGCAGCAACGCCAGTGGAAGACCACAGACAATCCTCTGAGAGGATGGACTCGAAAACCACGGAGACCGAGGAGAGCACCGAGTTGAAAACCCTAAAATTCCGCTCCTTTCACAGCTACTAAGAGACCAGAAGGACCAGAGAGTCGAAGCCGACACGAAGATGTTCAAGTAATCAGGCCCTAGAAGACGGCCACCGGTCCTGAAGCGAGCTGCCACGGGCCTCAAACTCTCAAAGATAATCCCAAAGAATAATCTGTGTTCACCAACTGCACACATCACCTCCAAACACGTACGTACGGACGTACCATGGCCGCCGGCGACGTCTAATCCAAAATTTCCAAACCAATGAACAATAGCCGGTTTGACACGACGAAGAAGCGACAGAAATGCAGATAGACGTGTCGAGGCCGATTGGCTGGCCTCTTGGACAATTTACGAGGAGTATCTGTCTAGCTGATGGCCTGTTGCTGCAGAAGTAGCAATTCGTGCTCTCCCTTTTCGTTGAAAGAGAGAGCGATCGAGAGGTAGCAATTACGTGCTCAACTGATCAATTGACAAAGCATACTATACATTTGTCTCAAACTGAAGGATTCCGCGAGAAGATTTGTGGACTTGTTTTCAGAGATGCTAGGCATCATATGAAACACTGCTCATGACGCAGATCTCAGAAACTTCAGAGTTACTAGAGGATCACATTCACGGTCATTTTTCGTCGCCGTTGTAAACTAGCTTTTACTACTACTTCCATTGACAGGCAGGGAAAACTTCAGAGCGATCCAATCTGTTCTTTTCTGTTAATGGTACTAAAATATTTGCGAAAATCTCATTTGGAAAAGTGTTCTTTGCACTAATAACTAGTACTAACAGAAGCACTTTTATTGCGAGAATAAGACGAGCCATCCAATGGCAACTCGTTACGCTGGCACGAGCTCTGAAATTCCGATCTCCACTTGGGCAGCACATCCAAATAAACAAGCTGCTTATGTTGTCATCTCTGTCCATTACTTTGCCCTGCAATTCTTCGTGAATATCGTTATCTGGAACATGGATCAGAACAATCTAGTGGCAGCCAGATTAGTTGCTGCCATTATCTCTTGGTTAATTAAAGGCTAAGACAAGCTCAGGTTAAAGCGCAAAAGGAAGTGGAAAGAACAAATGAGCGAGCTGAGGATTGGTTCTGACTTCTGTAGGAGATGATAGTTGAAGTTAAAAAAGATTAAACTTGAGACCACTCATGCATGCATCGAATGAGCTGAACTGCACTTTGGGTGATTTTTACGGCAGTAGTATATCTGATCTGATATTTGTTTACTCTGAACAAAGCAGATCAACTGCACAAATGGAGTGAGATCACGCGCCTCTGCTAGCCTTGCAGCTGGATTAGTACGGCAACTAGTACAAGTTGACAGTATTGTCAATATATACAGTTACATCTAGTGCTTCTGTTCGTTCACAGTGATCAGTTTTGTTCTTTTTGAAAAAAATCAGTGTTCAGTTTTGCGATCGGTGAAGATTGCAGGCATTTATTATTATTATTATTATTATTGAACTGAGCCACGAAGCTATATCATTATTGATCGAGATAAAATAGTTGAAAAATGAAAGTACGTTTTATATGATATAATAATTCTTGTGTCTACGCAGTTATACATGGGGAATATGCTGGAAATGTGCTAATGGAGAGAAGAGAAGTTGATACGGCAAGGGGCAAGAACCATGTACTTATCAAATTGCAACTATTTGTCTAGCTTGTTTCAGCTTTCCAGATGAGTTTCTTTCTTGGGCTATGGTAATGGATGTACAAGCTTTTGTAAGGTTAATATATCATTAGGCATCTAGTGTTCACTTCAATTTGTACTTTCTACCTGAAAACTTTAATTGATTAAAATCAACTTGCATGGTGATATGATATCTGTGTATTGCTCAAAGATAAGTAGTCACTGTACATTACTATTATGGTATTTCCCATTGTTCCACCAGATCATTAATCCTACTATACAAAGTCCAAATTGACTTATAGCTTTACATCTTAAATACATTAGAAGTCTTGGTGGCAAGAATACGAGTCATGACTTATATCCACTGAGTTGCAAGGACAACTTTACTGTATTCCCTCCGGTCACAGAAATAATGGCAGTCTAAAATGAATGTAATCTTACGGTGTTAATTTTCAGCTAAAAGAAATGTCAAATTTTGACTAATTCTAGTGTATAAATTTATAATTTGGATGTACACTAATGTACAAGTAAGCCTGTCATAAAGACCACCACTTTTAGTGTATAAATTTATAATTTGGATGTACACTCATGGTATAAGTAATGAGTCTTTTACCTTTATGCCATTATTAAGAAAGTTGGAGGTTACGCGTGTGCCACAAAAAAGTTTTGAGTTACATGTATACCATGACACAAATTTTCGTTTACCTGTGTGCCATTCCATCCACCTTCTGTTAGAGAATGAGCTCTGACATGTGGGACCCACGTATGAAAATAACTAAATTGCCCCTAAAGCATTTTCATCTCCACTACTCCTCTCCTCCAGTGCGCCTTGAACCCTAGCCGCCGCTGCCGCCGTTTGTCGCTGTCGCCGGCACGCTGCTGCCTCGCCTCGTTTTCCGTCGCTGGCACGCCGCCGCCGCCGCCGCCGGTCGTCGCCGTCGCCGGCACGCCGCTGTCGCCGCCTTGCCTCGCCGGCACGCCGCAGCGCCACCACCGCCGCCGCAAAAGTGGATGAAATAGAAGGGCAAAATAGATCTTTCAAACCTCTGTTAGTCTTTGTTAGTGCTAATTCCATCCAAAGTGGCGCACAGGTAAACGAAAGTTTGTGTCATGTCATACAGGTGACTCAAAATTTTTTTTGTAGCACACACGTAACCTCCAACTTTTTTAATGGCATAGGGGTAAAAGACTCACAAGTAAGCCTGTCATAAAGACCACCACTTTTTGTTGACTTTGTTAACTCAAGAACACCATTCTTCCGTGGCTGTTGGGTGGGCAGGGTGTAGGTTTGGCAATGTGCCCAGAGCCTAAGAAGAAGAAGGAAAACGATGAACTGCTGAAAGCCTTTTCGGGTTAAAACTGTTTTTGCCATAATATGGGGAGGTACACAACTGCGTCTCTTGCCTAGGCTTAGCCTCAAGTACCACCTATAAATTCACGTTAAAAATGAAGTAGTGGAGATTTTGGTTGTCAATTTGATTTGATGTATAGTGCAAAGAAAAGAAGGAAAAGAAAAGGAAGAGAAAGAGATCGAGAGACAAGATGCACTGAAGATCAGGTCCTGAGACGAGTGCTGTCACCTCTTCGCAAATTGCCTCAATGCTGAACCTATCCTGATTCAGTGATTCCTGATGGACACGACATGGATGAGTCGTCCAGAGGAAAAGAAACGCCGCACCGAGAAAACCAACAAAAATTAACCCTCATTTGAGATCATACATGCCCTTAATTGAAACCCATCGACAGTCAAAAGATAACTTTTCTCAAGACACTTATTAGTCAATCAAGATTCAAGAGCCTGGAAACAACAGTCAAAGTAGATCTTATACATACTAATCAAACTATTTTGCAACAAAGAACATATAGAAACTAACCGATCGATTGGGTTCCAGGAGATCGCCGGAGCTCCGGCGAGTTCGGGCATTCGGCACCAGAAGGAAGAGAGTCGCCGGCCTAACTGATAAGAGCAAGTTTAATAGTATAGCCCACTACTAGCTCCAAATCATCTATAGCCAATGTAATAGCTAATTCATACAATAGTTGCTTACTATACTATTAATATCTGGTCTCACTTGTCATAGACAAATTACGTCTTGGAGTCCATTCTGCAGCTGGCTACATATCTGTAGTTTGCTGCTCTTCTCTCTCTTACTTTATCTTTTGCTCTTCTCTCTCTTACTTTATCTTTTTAAAATATATTTATAACTAGCTTATAGCCCGCTATTGTATCTGCTCTAATACGAACAAAGAGGAGGGTTTTATGAAAAACAAGTCCTACTCTCTCCAATGGGATTGATATCGACCGTCAGATGATAATCGGACGATGAAGAGTGATCCAAGATGGTCGCGATCCAAACTCTCGGGAGTATTCTCAACGAAAACGTCCTACCTGCACTCGAGTCCAACCAATCTGAACTGCAGAGTTTGATCGAACGGCGAAGAGGTATTCTAGTCAGATCGCTACCATTAATCGCGACCCAATTCTCAGGGGTTGTGAAAGATAATTCGACGAAAACGAGGGTTTCCTGTGTAAATATACCTCCACCCCCTCAACTCCTCTCTCTGACAGGTGGGCTCACTCGCTGACCCGCAGTCAACGGCGGCTTTCACGGTGAGCTACCGCCGCCGCTGCCGCGACTCCTCGCCGTGCCGGCGTTGGTGAGAGGTGGGCCTCGCCGGCAGGCGGCAGAAGCAATCGCCTCGACCTCGAGCTCATGCCTAATCCGTCTTGATCAATCAGCGGCTAATTAATTCGTCTGGCTTAGCAATGGACAGAGAAGCAAATCGAGCTATAAAATGTGTGAAGAGAATATAATAGCTATGAACTGTGAGTTCAACTGATAATTATACATACATAAGTCGACCTGTCAATTCTATCATACATGCGTCTATACAAGATCGATCAAAAAGATCAAGAAGAAGAAGGGGAAATCAAGAGACCAAAATCATGAGATCGAAAACCCGGAGCAAATCACTAATCACCTAGCTACTGTATGCCACTCCACTCTCCTCTCGTCGTGTACTGTCTCTGCTAGCTATAGCTAATCGCTACTGTACACGTACGCGGGGCGTCCTCGCCGGCAGATCGACTCCGCCATGGCGCACGGAAGCGAGCTCGATCGATCAGGAGCTGACTTTGGCGCGGGTGCACGGGGAGAAGGAGTAGTGGTGGTGGTGGTGCGATCCGCCGCCGGCGTGGACGCGGTGCGGCGACGACGAGCCGCCGCCGCCGCCGCCGGCCGCGTGGGTCTCCCGCTCCACGAGCGAGCGGAGGCGGAGGAACTCGTCGACGGAGCAGGGGAGCCGGAGCGGGCCGGCCGAGTCGTAGCCGTAGGCGTCGCGCGCCGCCTCAAGCAGGCGGCGGAACAAGGGGTGGTAGAGGTAGGCGATCGGGATGACGAACCGCCGGAACCCGCCGCCGTCGCCGCCGTCGGCGCCCTCCACCCCGACCCTCACCGCCAGCCACCCTTTCTTCACCTTCCCGGCCTTCTTCTCCTCCCCCTGCAGCATGGCGGAAGCACCAACCACCGAAACAGACGCCGTCCTCTCCTCCGCGACGACGACCTCGCCGCCGTTGCAGCTGATTAACCTCGCTGCGCAAGTGCAATCAAGCTACGCACACTCCACGAGCTGGAGCTGATCGATCTCGAATTGGGGCGTGGTGTGCTCTGCCACGCGTGGTGTGTCTTTTATAGGACGCGGCCCGTGCGGGCGAGGAGTTTGGCTTTAGCTTAGCTAGTGGCAGTGGCGTACGTACGTCCTTTGCTACGGAAGCCGGCCGCCACTGTCATGGCGTGCTCGCGTTCCTTCCGGCTCCCGTGTCGCTGACACGCGGGCCTCGGGGAATATCAGGGTTCAGGTGAACCGCTGCAGTGAACGAGAGAGAGATTGTTATGCTCAAAAACGGGAAACTGTTTTGAACCCTCCCTCAGTTGTCTCCTCCTCCATCTAAAAACAATTCAATCAGTTACAAAAAATTCTGAAAAAAATAGATGATATTTATGCAGCGTATATATATATCGCTCCACAAAATCTTAGGTCGTTAAAACTCATCATATATATTACTAAGATATAAAAAGTTTCAGTTGGTAAATAGTAGTGGCACTATATATTTATATCCAAATTTGTCTCTTTTTCTTCTTTAATACGTAGGTCGAATTTGATGTTGATTTTCGGTTAAGCGCTAGATTTCACTGTAGTCTATATTGTTATTTTCTTTAAATCTTTTTCATAACTATTTGCATAGAATTTAGAAGGAAAAAAGTACACAAGTCTAAAAAAAAATCCAAAATATAACATGTGAGCCTGTTTGGCGCCTACACGAATCGCCGATGACCCGGGCGGTGGCGCCCACCGGGGGATCGAGTGGGGTGGCAATAGCTTGTGGTGGAACTGATCCGGCCAAGTGGGGGAGGGAATAGCGTGTGTTCGTGCAGTGTGTGCTGCCCCACGAGAGATGGTGGGGATTGGCATGCAGATCATGACGGAATGGTTCGTCAGATTGTTGTTGCTGCTGCTGCTGCTGTTGTTGAGTACTAATCACTATTGGATTTTGTTCTTTGTGCTTCTGCTTCTAGCTGTTTCGGTTATCTTTTCCAGTGATGGTGGGGGATGCGTGATTAACCCAATCTCATCTATGGTGTGCGATCGATCGACATGACTGCAGATATGGGCGTTCCTTTAATTTGATCGAGGATGATACACATACATACGCCACAATAATCTGTGTGGTTGCATGCAGTGCTATTGATTCAGTTCTTCTCGTCAATCTTTATCTCTGTTGAAATATCTCTGTTGTCGTCCTCAATAGTTATTCTGAGGTTAGTCTTACTGGTAGACAGGGAAGTTGTCACAGGGGAAATCTCACATCATTCTAGCTCCAAACCAAATGACAGGTGCTTTGTCAGGGGGTGTGATGGATTAGCGATCCAGGATTATTCCAGGCAGCTAGGGCCACAATGTTTTACTAATTTGTTTCTTTGCACGAGTGAGAGCACCATGCACACAGATATCTCGTACTACTACTCTTCTACTAGTAATTTGGATAAAATACGCAACTACTCCTACCTACGAGTTTTCTTTTTAAATTTTAACAGATGCACGCGCCTAATGGTTGTCTTTCTCGAAAGGATAGATATCATATCACGATGAGTAGACCGACATCTTGGACTGCTGGATTGCTTATCTACATGTATGTCATGATTATTGGTTATGTCAGCCAACTTTGTGGTCACAAGATGTGTTGTATGCTTGTAAAGTTGTACTAATAAAACTACCCAAAATTTTCACGTAATTCTACGCAAATCGCAGGTTAAGGTTCATTTACAAGTAGAATTGCATCTGCTATACAATTTCGTTGTGTTTCGACAAATTAATATGTATATTAATTGAGTGAATTGTAGCTTAGACTACTTTCTATTGCCAATGTTTCAATTTATACTATCTTTTGACTAATCCTTTCGCTTTGCATTAGTTAAATACTTAAATTTACTCTCTCTCTCTCACTCTGGACCACCCCAATTCTCTTATATACCCATATCTAACTACGCCTCCGACAAAGATATAGCTTGGGGAGGGAGTTTATCAGTGTATTGGAACCAATATTGGTTATTGATGTGCTTAAAAAAGTGGTTTGGGTGGTTTAAATCTGTTGACAGAAAACACGAGGCCTGGGAGATCTGCTTAACTCCAGTGCAGGTCCAAAGCTCGTCTTCGAATGTATGAGCGTGCCAGTTGATTTAATCCTGTAATCAACAAGAAATAGAGACAAAGAATTTGTGGTTAAATCTATAAATGATAGCCGATCGGCTAAGTGCCGATGACATATCATTTATCTTTGAGCCGATGTCATTTATGAATCGATCAGTGGTTATAAATAGATAGTAAGGAACTAAATCTATTCGATAGGCTGTAGATATTAACGATATATAGTTCTTATATTAATATATACTTCAATCAAATGATTGGGATAGATCGGTCACCATGCCGAGACAGTATAAATCACTTAAATCGAAATATATATTAATAATAGGATTATATATGTTTATAGCATAGCCGATCAGATAGATCTAGCATGTATCGGTTAATACTCCGATACTACTCTATATAAAGATATCAAAACAAGTATAATATACCAAACAAAAGCTTAATATACTTAAATGCAATAAGATCTTGATATAAAGGGCATATTTAACATGTCACTGAAGCATATAGATTGAATATGGTTAAATCAGATAAGATCGGCTGAAACTCCGATATTACCCTAATCGGTAACCAGAGGACATGCTAGAGATTGATATTCTAAGCACGACTTAATAGATCAAACTCAACTAATACAGCATTAAGTATGAAAAGAAGAACAATATCTAGACAACAAAGCCGCTGGATGTTTCATAAAGTGGTAGATATCTTATATAATCTAGGACAACGTCGCTATTTAACCTAATCGGCTGCCTTCTATTAACAGATGTTAGCCGATTGTAGGTTAGATGACGATATTGCCAAAGATTATGTAAGATATATAATAACTCGACGAATTATATAGACAAGATTAGAGTGTCATAAAGATGGAAGCACTAATCTCGAGAACACAAGTCGTCATAACAAGTTTTACCTCTTGTTGAAGATCGAAACCGATGCAGCTCAACCCGAAAGCAAGAACTCGTCGAAACAAAACTAAAGCAAAAAGGTGGCGATGCGCCGAAATTGTATTGAATGTGTGTGTTAAAAATTACATAGGGCTCGGGGTCTATTTATACTCGAGAATTACAAGATATGTCCATACCGGACATGACCACTATCTTTAACAAACACTAAGATACCATAAGTCTTTGCGGCAGACTTTTGCCCAAACATATCTCTAAGGAAGTTACATAAAACATCCTAATTAATAGATACAATTGCCTTCTTGGGACTCTATCCATGTGCGGAAATCATCTTGAAGCACCTCAATTCAACCCGATGTCATACACCAAATTATACTGTCGGAATCGGCTGCATCGGCTTACCTAGTCCGACTCAGACCCAGCCGATCCTAATCGTAGCCGATCTGGACTTCAGCCGATTCTTGCTCTGTTCTCGGATCAATCTCCGCCTTCGACTCCACTTCGATCTAATCTCCTTTTCTGATGCTGATATTACCAAATTTGGTCGTTAACACATGCCCCCCAAGTCCGGGATATTTGATAATGTTCCGGATTTGCCGTGTACCGACTCCGAGCAAGTTTCGCACTCTGCCGTTTTTTGACCGTTATTCTATCGCTTTAAATACCAACCGTTGCCCTCGAGAAATCTCACGCCGTGACTTCCGTTTTCACCGCTCAAGCAAAACTTTGTCCTTTCTCTCTCCGGCGATTCCTCCGACGCAAAAGCGATCCCCAGGCGATTTCGCTTCTGATCAGATCTCCGCCTGCGGTGATGTCGTCTTCCACTAGCCCGTCTACTGCGCCATCAGCCGAGTACGCTGAGGTAAGTTCTCACCGGCTAGATCCCTTTTCCTCGCATGAAATCGATTTCTCCTTTTCTCATTATGTTTTCTGCTTCCCGATTCCTTTGGATTTGCAGCACCTTTCCAACCTAGTTGCGATTCCCAGCCTATCGCACAAAAACCATTATTTTCTTGGCCCAATCGGCAATCTTGACCCCACTGATTTCATCATTGGTGAAACCAACATAATCCCCTTTAGACTAGCTAACCCTAACCTGGGTCACTGGAAGAATACCTTCAAGTCTTGGCCATCTCTCGAAAGGCCTACCCCTGATAAGAGCTGGACCACCTGGTACCATCGCATATCGGCTAGTAAGAAAGTCCACTGGGATGAGATTGGGATCGGCCAAGCGCTTTCTCTCACCATAGCCAATTCTGCTAAGGATGAACCTCTAATGGCTGCCGCTACCTATTTTTGGTCCAACACCATCAATGCCTTCTTATTTAACCAAGGGCCGATGACTCCAACTTTGATCGACATCATCATGATTACTGGATTAGATGTAACTTCATCGGCTAACCCTATGAGTATGAACACCAAGAACCAATTTGACTTCAAGACCAAAAGCATAGGAGGGTGGTCTGGTTATGCAGCGGCATACATGGGCAAAAGGCCTGTCACTCCTCGAGAGCACGTAGCTTTCTTGCTAATGTGGCTAGAAAAGTTTCTCTTTTGTGGATCCAGCTGTGGTCTCACAACCAATTGGCAATTTGTAGCCGGAGCCTTAGGATCAAAGAAACAATTCCCCTTGGGCAAAATCCTTCTCGGCTATCTATACCAAATGTTGAACAATGCATCGGCTAAGATAGCCGTCGGCTCAATAGTTGGAGCAGGTGGACCATGGTGGCTACTGCAGACCTGGCTAAACCTGGTAGTCATGAAAGTTGTCAATCGGCCATATGTAACAGAAGCTGAATTCCCAAGGTTGGAGCCAATTGTAGAAGACGATGGAGAAGAACGCACCCATCGCAGATGCATGTCATATGGAGAATATGCATCCACACTAGCCGATGCTGGGGTAAAACTATTGGCTGAGCTGCTCAAAGATTGGTTCTGCAGCTTTTATGAAGGCTTCCAGAAAGATGCCCGGGTTTGGTTTCTTTATGAAGACTTAGCAGACCTTGAGCTCCCATTAGACTTCAGATTTGAAGACATCAATCATGAAAGATATCAAACGTCCAGGGAAGTCTTTACAGCTGCA